GGGCATGGTGGCATGTGCCTGTAATCCCAGCTACTCAGGAGGCTGAGGCAGGAGAATTGCCTGAACCCAGGAGGCGGAGGTGGCGGTGAGCCAAGATCGCGCCATTGCACTCCAGCCTGGGTAACAGGAGCGAAACTCCGTCCCAAAAAAAAAAAAAAAGTAAACTGGAGATCAACCAGGCCTGTAAAATCAAGAAGAAAAAAAAGAAGCCAGAAAGTATTAATATTTTATATTTTCTTTCCAGATACCACTCGTGACAAGAAAAATCAGCAAAACTTGAAAAGGGCATTGACAAAATTTCGAGAATTCCTGGAGCTCTCTAGCTCTGCTGTTAAATGCTTCTACAGCTGTCCCTTCAGAATTGCCCAGGTAATCAGAATGGCTAAAATTATAATCACAGCCGGAAGTGTTGGCGAGGGTGGGGAACAACCAGAAGTCTCCTGCATTTACTCATAAAAATGTAAAATAGTAAAAACCACTTTGGAAAAAGTTCTGGTCATTTCTTATAAAATAAAACTGGCCAGGCATGGTGGCTCACACCTGTAATCCCAGCACTTTGAGAAGCCGAAGCGGGAGGATCACGAGGTCAGGAGATCAAGACCATCCTGGCCAACATAGTGAAACCCCGTTTCTACTAAAATACAAAAAATTAGCCAGGCATAGTGGCATATGCCTATAGTCCCAGCTACTCGGGAGGCTGAGGCAGGAGAATCTCTTGAACGCGGGAGGTGGAGGTTGCAGTGGGCTGAGATCACACCATTGCACTCCAGCCTGGGTGACAGAGCAAGACTTCGACTCAAGAAATAATAAATAAATAAATAAATAAAACAAAACGATACACAATTGTCCAGGGAATGTGGCCCAAAACATTCCATAGTTTGGAGACAAGGAACTACGTCCCTGGCTCCTATACACTTTGCCCTCTTAGTTTGGAGGTAAGGTCAACCTGCCATTGAGGCCAGTATCCCTGGATTTCACTACATACCAGCTCTGCTCCTACTATTAATAATTGCCAGCCTCTTGCAAAAGTATATGCTGGTCACAAAAAGGAGCTGCCAGAGAGTATGGTTGATCCAACAAGCCAGACATTTTAAAATTAATCTAGTTATTCATTATTCAATAAATACTTATACATCTACTAGGTACCAGGCATGCTAGTGGGTAGGGGAAAATAAGAAAAACCTACAGCTCTTACTCATGTAGGGTCAAAAGTATCAAGTAATTTAGTCTCTCTGTACATCAATTTTCTCATCTGTACAATGGCGATCTGTAAAATTGGGAGGGTTTTTATAATTTACACTGTTTACAATTCAGTTGTGGTTAAATGAGGCTGGGCGTGGTGGCTCACGCCTGTAATCCCAACACTTTGGGAGGCCGTGGCGGGCAGATCACTTGAGGTCGGAAGTTCGAGACCAGGCTGACCAGCATGGAGAAACCCCATCTCTACTAAAAATACAAAATTAGCTGGGTGTGGTGGCACATGCCTGTAATCCCAACTACTCAGGAGGCCGAGGCAGAAGAATTGCTTGAACCCAGAAGGCGGAGGTTGCAGTGAGCCGAGATCACACCATTGCGTTCCAGCCTGGGCAAAAAGAGCGAAACTCCACCTCAAAAATAAATAAATGAAAAACAATTAATTAATTAATTAATGAGATAGCATATGGAAAATGCTTTGCTAAATGCCTGTCACAGTTAAGTGCCCAGTAGATTGTACCTATTATAATCATTTGAAGGACTTTATATACTGCCAAATGCAATGAGAAACAGAATGACATATTCTTTTAGTATGTTGTCTCCTGACAAGCCATTTTAGTTATCCCTGGGGACCTGTCAGCTGTGTAACATTAGGGCTTTTTTTTTAGTCCTACTCTTATAAAAGTGTGACTCTTTCTTTCTTTTTTTTTTTTTTTTTTGAGAAGGAGTTTAACTCTGTCACCCAGGCTGGAGTGCAGTGGCACGATACCGGCTCACTACAACCTCCACCTCCCGGATTCAAGTGATTCTTCTCCCTCAGCCTCCCAAATAGCTGGGATTACAGGCATCTACCACCATGCCCAGCTAATTTTTGTATTTTTAGTAGAGACAGGGTTTCACCATATTGCCCAGGCTAGTCTCGAATCCTGGGCTCAAGTGACCCTCCCACCTTAGGCTCCCAAAGTACTGGGATGACAGATGTGAGCCACTGTGCCTGGCCAATAAAGCTTCTTTCTAAACGTCAGAGCAGCAGACTGGGTGCGGTAGCTCACCCCTCTCATCCCAGCACTTTGGGAGGCTGAGGCAGGAGGATCACTTGAGCCCAGGATTCAAGACCAACCTGGGAAACATAGCGAGACCTCAGCTCTACACATAAAAAAGTTAGCTGGGTATGGTGGTGCACGTGTGTAGTCCCAGCTACTCAGGAGGCTGAAGTGGGAGGATTACTTGAACCTGGGAGGTCCAGGCTACAGTGAGCTGTGATTGCACCACTATAGTCCAGCCTTCGTGTCAGAGCAGCAAAAGGCCATGCACAGATGCTAGCAGTGGACATTTAGGTTGCTTCCACCTTTTCACCTTTGTAAACAAGACTGGGCTAGGTGCACGGCTCAAGCCTATAATTCCAACACTTAGAGAGGCTGGGGGCAGGAAGATCGCTTGAGCTGGGAGTTTGTGGCCAGCGTGGGCAACATAGTGAGACCCCTGTCTCTACAAAAAAAAAATTTTTAATTAGCAGAATGTGGTAGCACGTGCCTGTAGCCTCAGCTACTCAGAAGGCTGAGGCAGGAGGATCACTTGAGCCCAAGAGGTTGAGGCTGCAGTGAGCCATGATTGTGCCCCTGCCTGGATGACAGAGTAAGACGCTATCTCCAAAAACAAAACAAAACCACAAGACTCAAAACAGCATTGTACATCTTTGTCCACTTCTCTGATTGTAAACTTAGAATCAAGTCCTTGTTCAGGGCACTTTCTATCATACCATATTTCCATATTTCTTGGAAGTTTATTTTCCTCATCTTTTCAGATTTTTGAAGGTTTTCTTGATTCCAATGAGCTCTTCCAGTTTGTAACAACTACATTTGATACCCTGAGAAACCTGAAACATCCCTGCACCCAGCGATCAGCAGGAGAATTACTGCTAACTTTGGTAAAAAATGCAGAGTCCCGATTTGAGAAGGTAAACTTTCAGTGGCCATTTCCTGCGTTCAAAAAGCCAGTAAGACCTCTTCATTCCTGTAGCTACTGAGGTCTCTGCTTATCCCATTGAGCTGAGAAAACTACTGATAGGTACAGGGTCAAAGGCCTAGTCTATTTAGTCACAAATACCCATTCAAACATACACCAAACAGCCACTGTGTATGTAACTAGGGAGGGAGATTTTGTTTTTTATCTAAGATGTGGTCCATATTTCCTAGAAGAGTAGACTTTTTCTGGGGAGATATAACTAACACATATGAGAGTGACTTTAATTTAGAGACTCATCCAGATGGATTAAAGGTATCAAGATTTAAAAAGCTGTAAGTGGCTGGGCATGGTGGCTCATGCCTGTAATCCCAGCATTTTGGGAGGCCGAGGCAGGCAGATGGCTTGAGCTCAAGAGTTCAAGACCAGCCTTAGCAACAGAATGAAACCCTGTCTCTACTAAAACTACAAAAATTAGCCAGACACGGGGACTCACACTGCAATCCCAGCTACTTGGGTGGCTGAGGCAGGAGAATCCCATGAACCTAGGAGGCAGAGGCTGCAGTGACTGAGATTGTGCCAGTGCCCTCCAGCTTGGGCAACAAAGTGAGACCCTGCCTCAAAATAAATAAATAAATAAATGTAAATAAAAAGCCGTAAGTGACCCTAGAAGGAGGCAGACTTAGAAATCTTAAAATTAAGAGAATTTATCTACATGTATTTAAAATTAACACATCAAGAAATACCTATATAATTATGTAATTTACAAATAAAGAAGGCCATGCAGGAAGAGATAAAAGGGATGAAAGTAGTTGTCTCTGGAGAGCAGACCTAGGGAAGAGGGAGGAGAGCATCTTGAAATACCACTGGACTTTTTAAATCGTGTGCATGTTGTTCCTGGGTACAAATAAAAAGTAATTTAATAATGATGAGAAGCAGCCGGGTATGGTGGCGCACACTTATAATCCCAGCACTTTGGGAGGTCGAGGCAGGTGGCTTGCTTGAGCCCAGGGGTTCAAGACCAGCCTGGGCAACATAGTGAGACCCCATCTCTACAAAAAGATTTTTAGAAATTAGCCAGGCATGGCAGCACACACCTGTGTTTCTAGCTACTTGGGAAGCTGAAACAGGATTGCTTGAGTCCAGTGAGCCATGATCATGCCTTTGTATTCCAGCCTGGGCAACAGAGGGAGCCCTTGTCTCAAAAAACAGCAACAAATAAAAAACAAATTTTAAAAACAACAACAAAAAAATGATGATCACCCTTTATTTTAGCCTGTTAAAATAACAAAGATGCAAAAAGAATGACAGGATAAGAGCATGGTGAGCTGGGCACTTGTATCAGTTGCTTGCCTCTAGCAGCTAAAACACCCAGTAGGTAGAAGCTTAACCAAAGGATTTATCCTCTCACATAACAAGTCTGGACATAGAGTATTTTCCAGGATTGATTCAGTCATTCAACTGTGTTATCAAAGACCCAGGGGTTTCTTCATCTTTCTGCCTTGTCTGTTCATGTGGTCATAGGGTAGTCAGGGCAATTTTGGACATTCTGAGAAGAATAGACTATGTCCAGAAAGAAGAAAGATGTTTGCTTCCTTTTAATGTCTTTATTCAGGGAAAAAAATCTTTCCCAAAAACCCCGGTAAATAAATGTACTCTTGTGTTTGTTAGCCAAATGCTTTGGTTTTTTTTGTTTGTTTGTTTGTTTGTTTGTTTTGGAGGGGGGGACAGTGTTTTGCTCTGTTGCTCAGGCTAGAGTGCAATGGCACAATTTCGGCTCACTGTAACCTCTGCCTCCCAGGTTCCTGTGATTCTTTCACCTCAGACTCCCAGGTAGCTGGGATTACAGGCGCCCACCACAATGCTCAGCTAATTTTTTCTATTTTTAGCAGATATGGGGTTTCACCATGTTGGCAAGGCTGGTCTCAAACTCCTGACCTCAAGTGATCCATCCACCTCAGCCTCCCAAAGTGCTGGAATTACTGGCGTGTGAGCCACCATGCCTAGCCTACTGGTGCTGCTAATGGCCATTTTATATTAAGTGGTTGGGGTGTGCCTCTCTGAGAAGTTGACATTTCCACAGAGACAGGAACCTGTGCATCTGTGGGTGAGAAGAGTGGTCCAAGCAGAGAACTGGACCAAAGCCCAGTGGCTCCTATTTCCCTTACCTGAGCCTGATGGACATCTCTGGGAAGAAGAGAGGTAAGGAGTCCACTGCCATTCTCAGAGTCACCATGGAAAAAGCCCAGCTTCCTTGCAACAATTTTATTAGTTTGTCTTGTTATAAAATCAATACATCATTATTAAGGAAAAATTAGAAAAAATATAGAAGCAAAAAAATCTAATATTCTATCACTCAAAAGCACATTATAGACAGCTTTGATTATAAATCCTTCCAAATTCTTTATGTGTGTATACACACATACAGATATATATTTTAAGTAGTTTTCATCAGAAACTTTAAAAAATAATGAACAGTTAATTTAAAAGTCACCCCCTAGGAGTCGGGTACAGTGACTCATACCTGTAATTCCAGCACTTTGGGAGACCAAGGCAGGAGGATCACTTGAGCCAGGAGTTCAAGACCAGCCTGGGCAACATAGAGATACCTTGTCTCTACCAAAAATACAATTATCTGGGTGTGGTGGTGTGCGCCGGTAGTCCCAGCTACACAGGAGGCTAAGGTGGGAGGATCACTTGAGGTCAGGGGTTCAAGGCTGCAGTGAGCTGTGTTTGCACCACTGCATTCCAGACTAGACAACAGAGCAAGACCCTATCTTTAAAAAAAGTCACCCCCACCCAGGACCTTTCAGAAATGGCTACAATATCCTCAGTAACCATCAGCGTCCTATAGGATTACAGTCTTAGTAATTTCTTTTTCCTCGTCAGGTACCAGAAATTATGGGAGTTATCTGTGCCCATCTATCCATAATCAGCCAGCCTAGAGTCCGCCAACAAATCATAAGTACCGTGAGTTTATTTATATCCAGGCCCAAGTACACAGATGTAGTGCTCAGCTTCCTTCTGTGTCATCCAGTGCCATATGACAGGTAACAGAACCCTGTACAGCCTCTGGATTAAATTGGAGTATGTGACATAGCTCTGGGTATTGCGAAACATGGTTGTCTTGAAAAATCCAATGATCCTCTTGTAAAGAAGACACAATATAGATAAAGCTGGTGATATAAATCAGAACATAATGCATAATCCTCAGGAAAGAATCCCACAGATTCCAAATGAAGAACATCTGTAAGATAATTGAACTGGACTCTTCAAAAATGTTAACATCATAGAAGTAAAACTGGTGGTGGGGGAACTGTCCTGGGTAAAAAGGTACTCAGAAACATACCCAAGTGCACTGTGTGACCTTGACTGAATCCTGGTTCAAAAACAAAAGCTATAAAAGAAAGCCTGGAGAAAATTTAAATATGGAATACTATACTAGAATATTAAATTACTATAATTTTCTGGCCAGGCACAGTGGCTGACACCTGTAATCCCCACACTCTGGCCAAGGTGGGGCAGATCACTTAAGGCCAGGAGTTCAAGACCAGCCTGGCCAACAGGGTGAAACCTCATCCCTACTAAAAATACAAAATTTAGCTGGGCATGGTGTCAGATGCCTCTAATCCCAGCTACTTGGGAGGCTGAGGCAGGAGAATTGCTTGAACCCAGGAGAAGGAGGAAGTTGCAGTGAGCCACGATCACACCACTGCACTCCAACCTGGGCGACAGAGTGAGACTGTCTCAGACACACAAACAAAAATTAGTGTAATTTTCTTAGGTGTGAAATACTATGGTTATGCAGAAGGATGTCCTTATTCTTAGGAGATAAAATACTCAAGTTATTTAGGGGTAAGGTGTCATAATGTCTGTAACTCACTTGAGAATGATTTTGCCTAAAAATAAGGAAATAAATATATACCTTGAAAAAGTAGGGCCGGGCATGGTGGCTCATGCCTATAATCCCAGCACTTTGGGAGGCGGAGGCAGGCGTATCACAAGGTCAGGAGTTCAAGACCAGCCTGATCAATATGGTGAAACCCTCTCTCTACTAAAAATACAAATATTAGCCAAGCGTGGTGATGTGCGCCTGTAATCGCAGCTACTCAGGAGGCTGAGGCAGGAGAATCACTTGAACGCAGGAGACAGAGATTGTAGTGAACCAAGATCATGTTGCTGCACTCCAGCGTGGGTGTCAGAGAGAGACTCCATCTCAAAAAAGTAAATATGTATACATGAAAAAGAATGGAATCAGAGAGAAGATCAAACAGAATGGGTGTTTTGCATATTTTTGTGGGCACATGGTAGGTGTAAAGAAGTCTTTTCGAATAGTGTTTTTCACATTTGGAGGCACCCTGGAAAGTTCCACAAAGATGCCTATGGAGGAGGCAGGAGGGCTTCAGAAGAAAGTCCCGTGCCCCCACCCATTTTAACCAGAGCAGCACCTCTCTTTATCTGCTTTCTCCATTGTGATTCTGGGCAACTATTTTATTTAAGAAGAGATTTCCCTGCTTTAAACTATTTGAAAACAATTGTTTTAAGTGAATGGTTCTCACATAATATCTTGGTGTAGTGTTTTTTATGTCATCTATACTGAACTAAATCAAAGAGTGGAAGACTTTTACCCATTCAGAGAAAAAAATAATACAGATTTTTTTAAAAACTGGGTGTGGTGGCACACACGTGTAATCCCAGCTACTCAAGAGGCTGAGGCAGGAAGATCGCTTGAGCCCAGGAGTTTTGGGCCATGGAACATGATGGTTGTACTTGTGAATAGCCACTGCACTCCAGCCTGGAGCAATAGTCTTACTTTTTTTTTTTTTTTTTTCCTGAAGAGACAGCAACTCAAGCATAGCTCCCTGCATCCTTGAACTCCTGGGCTCAAGCGATCCTCTCGCCTCAGCCACTTGAGTAGTTGAGACTACAGATGTGTGCCACCACACTCAGCTTTTTAAACTTTTTAAATTATTTTAGCTTACTCTTGTATATTCCTCAAACAAATTGTTCTTAAATGTTTGGTATTTGCTATAGCTTATCTGTACTTGACTCTTATATAAAAATAAATATTTCGTAGGCCGAGGTGGGCCAATCGCCTGAGGTCAGGAGTTCCAGACCAGCCTGGCCAACATGGTGAAACCCCATCTCTACTAAAAAAAAATACAAAAATTAGCCAGGCGTGGTGGCACGTGCCTGTAATCCCAGCTACTTGGGAGGCTGAGGCAGGAGAATCGCTTGAACCCAGGAGGCGGATGTTGCAGTGAGCCAAGATTGCACCACTGCACTCCAGCCTGGGAGACAGAGCAAGACTCTGTCAATAAATAAATAAACAAATCTAAGTACAAAATGTTAAATATATTTAATTTGGTTTTTTGTGAGTTTGAGACAGGGATTTTCTCTGTCACACAGGCTGCAGTGCAGTGACACAGTCATAGTTTACTGCAGCCTAGACCTTCCAGGCTCAAGCAATCCTCCCACCTCAGCCACCGAAGTAACTGGGACTACAGGCGCACACCACCAGACCCAGCTAAATTTTTTATTTTTTTGTGGTTTCTCAGTGTTACCCAGCCTGGTCTCAAACTTCTGGGTTCCAGCGATCCACCTGCCTCAGCCTCCCAAAGTGATAGGATGACAGACATGAGCCACCATGTGCTGCCCTAATTAATTAAGTATACTTTCAGCATTATTCTGTTGTTTGTATTTGTTCTGCCTCTGGGAGGACTTTCAAAACTGCGGTAAATCAAATGCAAACTATGGAATCTTTTAGAAATGTAAGTGACTTACTCAGGAAATGTTATTCTGATTATGTTTTTGTCATTTACTTGAAGTTCATTATGTCACAGGGGAGTGACGACTGGGCCAGTGGTGCTGGGGTGAAAGAATTTACCAAGACAGTTGCGGGTAGAGGAAGGCAAATTTATTAGAGAAAGTAGGAAAATAACGGTGCCACAAAGACCACAGGGAGCCTGCAGGAGAGAAGCCGACTCTGGGGAGACAGAGGCTTGCTGGAGATTTGATAGGATCATGTTCATGCTGTATGTTGAAGAGGGCTTTGTGCAGTATTGATAATGTCAAGTTGCAATGAGCTAACTTGCAGGAGTCTGGTGATAGCTGGGCACCAGAGGATGGTGAGTTAATTGCGCAGGAGGGCTGTGTCCTGGATCATGAAGAGAAGCAGACTTATAGCTTATTTGCTTTTTCTTTTTGCTTTCCCCTGCTCCCGCCAGCCTGGCTTCCTTTCCCTAATTAGGACTCCACACGTTAAGTTGGTTTACATATAGATTGGGGTGATTGTTCTTAGGAGGCTGTTTAAAGCATCAACTGGCCGCGCAGGGTGTCTCAACGTCTGTAATCCCAGCACTTTGGGAGGCCGAGATGGGTGGATCATGAGGTCAGGAGTTAAAGACCAGACTGGCCAAGATGGTGAAACCCCGTCTCTACTAAAAATCCAAAAATTAACAGGGCGTGATGGCAGGCGCCTGTAATCCCAGCTACTCAGGAGGCTGAAGCAGAGAATTGCTTGAACCCAGGAAGTGGAGTTTGCAGTGAGCTGCAACTGTGACACTGCACTCCAGCCTGGGCAACAGAGTGACTTGGTCAAAAAAAAAAAAAAAAAAAGCATCAACTATGTGCGAGGTGCTATTAGACCCTAAAAGTAATGGATAAGACATGCACCCCACCCTTAAGCAGCACAGTCTGGTAGCCATATAGATGAATAAGTATTCAAAACTTAAGTAGGGTGTTCTGTGGAAGTCCCTAGGTCTGGACTTGATTAGATGAAGGGTCAGGAAATGACTTCTGAAAGCAGAGCTGCCCCCAAGCTGATGAATGCTAACAGCCAGATGGCAGGTCAAAGTGGCGGGAGAGAAAAATGGATAGTAAGAAGTGCTCAGACACCAGGGATCTTTTTGCTGTGATAGAAATGTTCTAACAATGGATTTGCGGTCATGGCTGCACGACCTTGTAAAATTAAGTCGGTGAGTTGTATGCTTAAGACAGGTAATCGTTATGGTGGTAAATTATAACTCACTGAAGCTGCTTTTTAAAAATAGTCAGAAATTAGCAGCGATTGATTGGGACCAACTTAGAAATGGGATAGCAGACTTTATACTACAGGAGTTGGGAAGCCACTGAAGAACTTTAGTTAAGGAACTTACATCATCAGATGCGCATTTTTAGTGTGACTCTGATGGAGATGTGTTAGAGGCTGTTCTGCCAGACAGGAGGAAGGACAGGCAGTTAAGCAGGTGCACCTTTTTAGGAAAAAGATGATGATGCCCTGATTAGGGCAATGACTCCAGAGATGGAGAGGAGGAAGGAGTAAAGAAACAGGAGCAGCCAGGTGCAGTGGCTCACACCTGTGATCCTAGCACTTTGAGAGGCCAAGGCGGGTGGATCACCTAAGGAAGCAGTTCCAGACCAGCCTGGCCAACATGGCAAAACTCCGTCTCTATTAAAAACACAAAAATTAGCTGGGCGTGGTGGCGAGAGCCTGTAATCCCAGCTACTCTGGAGGCTGAGGCAGGAGAATCACTTGAATCTGGAAGGCAGAGGTTGCAGGGAGCCAAAATTAGACCACTTCACTCCAGCCTGGGCAACAGAGCGAGACTCCATCTAAAGAAAAAAAAAAAAAGGAAAGAAAAAAAGAAATAGGAGCATCTGTAGGCAGGCCTTGATTGAATCAGAGAGGAATGGCAGGGAAGAAGAAGGCATTCAGGCTAATTCCCTACTCGTCAGTTTTTGGCTTTGGAGGCCAAGTTAATGGTGATATCATTTACTGACACAGGAATTACACTACATTTTCACCACTGACTATTTCTCTGTGGGATATGAAATACTTTGAGAAACTCAATTCACTAATACAGGACCAAATCAAAGAAGTCATAGAGTGCATATGTGACATGTGTCCCTCATACTACCCTGGTGCAGTACTCTGTCCTAGTAGTCCCCCAGAAGAGACAAGTGGCTGTTTCTCTTTCTATTCCATAAGGATGCTACAGCAGGATATTTGTTTTTTGTTTTTTGTTTTTTTTGAGATGGAGTCTCAGACTGTCATCTGGGCTGAAGTGCAATGGCGAAATCTTGGCTCACTGCAACCTCCACCTCCCAGGTTCAAGCGGGTTCGTGTGATTCTCCTGCCTCAGCCTCTGAGTAGCTGGGATTACAGGTACACACCACCACACCCAGCTAATTTTTTGTATTTTTAAGTAGAGACAGGGTTTCACTATGATGGCCAGACTGGTCTCGAACTCCTGACCTCGTGATCCGCCCACCTCGGCCTCCAAAAGTGCTGGGATTACAGGCATGAGCCACTGCACCCAGCCTAGGATATTTGCTCTTAAATATGTAGGCATCTTCAGTCTCCTAGCACAGTGTTTGTTAAAGTGTCTGAAACACTGCCTCAGAATCCCCTATGAAGCTTGTTAAAAATGCATCTTCTGGCCAGGCGTGGTGGCACTCATGCCTGTAATCCTAGCACTTTAGGAGGTTGAGACAGGTGGGTAGCTTGAGCCCAGGAGTTCAAGACCAGCCTGGGCAACATGGTGAAACCCTGTCTCTACAGAAAATGCAAAATTAGCCAGTTGTGGTGGCACATGCCTATAGTTCCAAATAGGAGGACGAGATGGGAGAATCATCTGAGTCTGGGAAATTGAGACTGCAGTGAGCTGTGATTGTGCCCCTCTACAGCCTGAGTGTCAGAGTAAAACCCTGTCTAAAAAAAAACACAAACAAACAAACCAAAACCATCTTCCAGTACCCTACATCAGACCTACTATATATTTGGTCAGGACTCTTGTTTGGAAGTAGCAGAAACTTAGCTGCTCACACTACCTTAAGGAATTGTATAGGCTTATATTACAGGAAAGTCCAAGGGTCTGTCTTCAGGATTTAATCCGGAGACTTAGTTTATTTCATCAGGGCTCCATTCATCTCTCAGATGGATTTGCACGAAAGGTGGCAAAGATGGTTACCATCAGCTGGAAACTGCAGTGGAAAGGCTGTGTCATTTCCCCTTTAGCTCTGAGGGATGTCCTGGGCCAGGACTCTGATTAGCCTGGCTTGGAGTCAGCTCCCACCAAACTACACCAACCAAATAGGATTATTAAGGATCTTGAAAAGGTGGTTTCCCAACAGGATAATGGGCAAACAAAACCCATGTCACAACTACAGAGTCAGAATCACTGGAAGTGGGAAGATTTTTTCCAGTTTTTAAACTCTCTGGATGTTTCTCACACTGAAATTCGTGAACCATTGGCTTAAAGGCTGTGTGCTTTCTAAATTCAGATACATTTTCAGCACACTTAAAATGTGCAGCAAACCAAAAGCATTTCGCAACGCTTCTCTCACAATAAACAGCTTCTCAAAGTACTTCATTTATTCCCTCAAGAATTCAGAGAAAATAACCAAGGGTAAGTAAACATGGGAATTTCTTTGTGTCATCCCAGATGAATGTTCCTCCTCGGCCATCTCATCATTCAGCAGCTGTGAGATTTTTCAACAGCCTACATTGCCTTTCTGGCCTTTTCTTTAGGAGTCTTTTAGGACCTTCTTTGTTTTATTCACAAATTAGAATCACTAGGATGAGGAGTGAAATGTTGGTATATTTTTTAAGGCTCTCAAGTTTTAGGATGATTCTCACTGTTGGAAGACCACTTTTTTCTTTCTTTCTTTCTTTTTTTTTTTTCTGAGATAGTCTCACTCTGCCACCTAGGCTGGATTGTGATTTTAGCTCGCCTCAGTCTCTGCCTCCTGGGTTCAAACAATCCTCCCACCTCAGTCTCCTAAGTATCTGGGACTATAGGCACACACCACCACACCTGGCTAATTTAGCATTTTTTGTAGAGACAGGGTTTCACCATGTTTCCCAGGCTGGTCTTAAAACTCCTGGGCTCAAGTGATCCTCCTATCTCGGCCTCCCAAAAAGGTGACTGGTCTGGATGGATTGAACACAGAGTGTGTGATGGGGAAGTGGTGGGGCTAAAAAGTTAAGTCGGGACCAGGTTATGAATGACCTTGAAGTCCATGCTGAGACAATGGGAATTTGATTCGATAAAACCTGGGGAGTTTGGAGGGTGGGAGATAAGGGGAGGGAGAGCATTAGGACAAATGCCTAATGCATGTGGGCTTAAAACCTGGATGACAGGCTGATAGGTGCAGCAAACCGCCATGGCACACACATACCTATGTAACAAACCTGCACATTATGCACATGTATCCCGGAACTTAAAGAAAATTTTAAAAAATTAGCTGAGTACAGTGGCTCACACCTTTAATCCCTATAGGGAGGCCAAGGTGGGCAGTTCACTTGAGGTCAGGCGTTTGAGAGCAGCCTGGCCAACATAGCGAAACTCCAGCTCTACTAAAAATACAAAAATTAGCTACGCATACCAAGACTAGCTCGACTGTAGAGACCCGCACCCAGGCGGCACTGAAGGAACTAAGAAGCAGACACAAAGAGTGCAAAGTGGGACTACCAGGGAGCTCACAGCCTTCCAAGCTGAGAGCCCTGAGCAGACGCTGACCCATGTATTTATTCTCTCTAAACAGGTGATTATTATTATCAAACAGGTGTTCTGTGTTTTCCATAGAACCAAGATAAACTGGTCAGGCAGCTGGTGCCTGCTTACCACTGATGAAAGACAAACTAGACAGCATTCTCCATGAGGGCGCCACGGGGGCAGGGTCACATATTCCATGCTTAAAGAATTGTTTTAACCGATGATATACATAGAAATTGTTTTACTACTTTAGAATGCCCCAAGCAGTTTTCTGCTTGGGGGGCTGGCTGGGTTTTCCTTGCCATCGTTCTCAGCAAACTATGCAATTTATCATACACGCTAGGACTTGTCCCACATGGACGTGGTGGTGGGCGCCTATAATCCCAGCTTCTCAGGAGGCTGAGGCTAGAGAATTGATTGAATCCAGGAGACGGAGGTTGCAGTGAGCCGAGATCTTCCCGCTGACTTCAGCCTGGGTGACAGAGCAAGACTCCATGTTAAAAAAAATAATAATAATGATAAAAATTTTAAAACAAGAAAATTTAGAGCAATAGGAATCCTACTCTGCCTTTTGGCGAATAAATTGGTACAACCACTTTTTTTTTTTTTTTTTTTT